CAATCCTCGGTTGGGCACCACAAACGCTGTCAGAGGCTTTGACTGCTCAGACAGGGGTATTTGCCAATAAGCCGATTTTATGTCCAGGGTGGTGAAGTAATGAGAATTTCGCAATTTGTCTAATGTAGCACTCACCATTGGGAGTGGGTACGCGTCGCGAATGGTGACCTTATAGAGCTCCCTGAAAACGACTACAAACCTATAGCTCTCATCGTTCTTCTTCATGAGTAATATAGGGGACGCCCATGGTGATTGGGAAGCCTCAATTACTCCGTCCCAAAGCATCTTTTCAATATTTTAGTTTCTTCAAATCCACACAGTGATGAGCTCAAAATTCTTGCTCCAGAGAAGATAACCAAACTCAACTCTCCTTCCCAGAGAAAAAAACCTTTTCTTTTTCCTTTCCTTTTTTTCCCCTATCAACGTTATTCAAGGTCGAATTATTCTGATTGTCTTTAGGCACAAAAAACTGAACTGAATTGTTTTGAATGTTATACAGGGTGGATGCTGTGCATTAATACATGATTTCAATACATTACTTTTCTGTTATCTTATAAATCCGCTCTTGCATTTTGGGAACCGTAACAATTATCAATACCTCAACATGAAATAAGTATATTGCAATAAGTTTTGAGTGTATTTTATCGAATTTCGGTAACCACTTGATTTTAATTTAATGGTTGCAATAAACTTAAAAGCGATAACATTTTTGAATAGAGAATAAAGAGACCTTTCAAATGTTATATCACAAACCTATACTTCCCATTAAAAAAATTGGGGGTTGTACCTGTCATTCGACGGGGGTTGAAGGTTGGGGTAGCATTTCTTCGTTGAAATATGACAAATTATAATTAAAATTTGACGTGTTTCGGGATTTTGTTAAAATATGTACCGTACCCGAAATGATGAATCTATTCCATTTGGCTTTTACACAGTGTATATGGAAAATGTGATGAGTGGATTATAATTAATGTTTTCATCTATAAATTTGTCGTATTTTGAAGTTGGAAGGATCTGATAGTTTCTTGGTTTCAGCATGTGGCTGCAAAAGTGAATATTCTCTTGGATTTGGATGTAATGCTCTCACTGGACAATGTGAATGTCTTCAGGGAGTGGTGGGAGAAAAATGTGACCAATGTCCACATAGATGGGCATTTGTTCCAGATTTCGGCTGTCATCAGTGTGACAACTGTCACCATGCCCTCTTGGATGATACAGATCAACTTTCTATTATAATTGACCCAGTGATATTTGATTTTGATGTAAGTACATTTCATTATCGTATACGTTGAAATATGTTCGATATAGTGAATGTATGGAATTCGAATTCATCTTCCACTTTGCCTTAGTCAACCCAATCCGGTTACTTTACAAGAAGGAGGTTGCAAAATATGCAGGAAGAAATAGAAAAACTGAGGCCCATTTTCGATGAAGTGAATCCAAACCATATTGACCTGAATGCCACATTACTGGAATTAGAAAGTTTGGAACAAGACTCTAGGAATCTCAATAGAAAGGTAAGCTGATAAAATAGCTGTAGTCTGGAAAACAGTCATAGAGTTGAAGTTTGCACTGAGTTCAGTAATGAAATTCAATTCTGAAAATATTATAATTTTTCATGGTTTTCAAAACCCAATGAAAAACATAATGTATGATCATTGTACATTGCGGTCTGGGTCACAAAAACTTTTTTTTGGAATTTGGAATCATTATCCAGGGCTGATTCGATTCGGAATGACCTTTATCAACTTTTTGTAAAATTTCAAGAGGAGATATACGCAACATAT